ATATTGACATAGGGCTCCGCCCCGGTGGCTTTCAAAGATTTTATGAGGTGAGAGATTTAAAAGTAAATTGATTGGTCTCCACGGCAACAAAAAGAAAACTCGCAATGTTTGTAACGTAGGCAAATTGTATTTAAAATGTTAAGAAGCAGAACCGTCAAATCCATTGTTTTCCACATTCCACACAGCTGGTTTAAACAAACTCAATAGTTAATACGTATATGTACAACTGTGCGGTAGATTTATTTATTAAAAAATGTTGTCATTGATTTGAGAAATACTTAAAATTCTGACCATGATTAATCTAGCCCTTGAACCAATTTTTTTTAAGTTAAGCTTAAAAGAACTATGCTTAATTAATAGAGTTTTGTCGAAATTATAAATTGCACTGCTTACATGTTTTAGATTTTACAATATTGGTATAATTTTTAAGCTTTGAACTACTTGTCTTGAGTTAGAGTAAGGTTTAAAATGCATATGTTATGTTTGTCAACTTAATTGTCCTAGTAAATCAAATTTGAATTTTTTTTCTAACGAAATTCTAAAACATAAATGAAGAGAGGTATATATGCACTCTATTTTAGTTAATTATTTTTTTAATCATACTTTTTTATTATGGCACTAAAATTTTAGAGGGTTTTAGCCCAAAGGCAGCTGCAGATAATATTATTTATATTTTCTTTTATCATTGACTTTGGGTAGTGCAAAAACGCTATGCTAAACTTCGCATAATATTGTAAAATTGAAACCAAAAAATATGTTTTGTTTTTTACTGATTAATTGGCATTATATTTATTGGTTAGGTTGATTTTATGCTTGCCCAATGCCTGTTGATTATTTGTAATAGAGCAATGCTTATCTATATAATTCATTCAGGTGTATATTACAGATACGTTGCGGGATACGTCGCCAAGGTTGTGCTGGACAAGTACCATTGCGCCACGTGTAAGGTTGACTTGACAGTGAACTCAGTGTTGTCAGAGCCGAACCAATTGTTGATACTTTACAAGTCTTACGGCACCAAAGAAGGGATATCAAGCTTAATTGCGCCTTCACAGGACATGGTTAATTTTACTCGGGACATACTCTTGTCGTTCCGGAAACATTTCCCAAAAATGATGTTTAAGTGTGATGTTAAGAGTGGACTAATTGATTTAGCCTCCAAAGAAATTGGGGGAGGATGGCTTTTGTTGGACCGTGATAACCCGTGTCTTATCCATCGTCAGTTTGTTTTAAGTTTCTTGGTACGATTAAAACTAATGAAAACTGTTTTGTGGGTTTCAAAAGACCTTCGAATACCCAAGTCAAGACGCCCGATGTGTTCATCGTACCAAGATAAGCTAAAACAAGTTCAACACATGTAATTGCTGTAGCAAACACTTAAACACATTGAAAATGCAACAATACTCATTATAACGGTTATTATAGGCCTACAAGAGTCAATAGTCAAATTAAAATAGGTAAATAAATAATAACGTATTATAGCAAAATTTTCAACTTGTTAAATAGTTTATTCTTGATTGATATTATTTATATATTATTTGATTTGTTTTTAATCTTTCCTTAGTTGTGTTTGCTATTGTTTTAAGTGTTAATTTTTTGTATCAATGTGTTTAAAATTCCCGGGTAGTTGTTGTTCTTGCAGTGCGTATTAATATTAACGATTAATGTCCAGTGGTCGAAACTCGACCAAAAATATGTAATGTACTCACTTATGTTAATGTTTCACCCCACACTGTAAATAAAACATGTGATTGGAGTTTCTTCCATTTGTTTTGATATTTTCTGTTTATATTTTGTTGTTATTTCGTCAGCATGGCAACGCATAAGTTCCATGTTAATTTTTTCAAATTTTTAAACTCATTTTTTGCGCTTATCTTTGAGCCTATTTAAATTTATAAAGGGATTCTGCACACCTGCAGGAAAATAGCTATCTAACGGTATGCGTAGATTTTCCCTACGATGCACACGAGCTGAGATAAAGGTTTTAAAGAAACATGCTTGCCTATTAATATATAGGCCTAGATAGATTTCTTCTTTCACATTCAATCTTTCTCTATTTCCAAGATTATGTAATATTCTTCAAAATTAGTAATTTTTCTATATTTAAGAGATGTTCTGCAAAATTGTATTTCATAGATGTCTTGTTTTCGAATTGTATCCTTGAATGTGTTCGTTATTGAATCTGACTTATAAATTTCAATTTGTTTGCCCAATGTGTTTGTCACAGCAAGTACATTTAATTGTTTTTATACTTCCGATTTGTTGCATATCTTTGTAGTGTTACCTATGGTATTTTCGTAGGTTTGTTGTTATTGTCTATAATATTAAAGTTATTTTTTTTCAGTAGCTTAGTTTGAATGGAGTGTGTTTGAATGTGTTACTTATTGATTTGTTTACGTTTAGTTAGGTTTTACGGAATGCATATACATTTCATTTATTCTTTTTGTCTACAATTGTCTTTAAAATTGGTATCAATAACTAAATTTTAGTGTGTCCGAACTATAACTATAATTCTTTTGAGATTGTCGTAATTAACACGATGAAGAAGTTGTTATTTTCGCGATCAGGAGGCGTAAAATTGTATTTCATATGATATAAACTAAAATTCTATTCCTTTATAATATTGGAAATTTCACTTGTAAACTTTAATTTAATGCTTTTACATTTTACCTTTACTTCTTTAGTTAAGATATAAGTAGACGATTTCTTGGCGAACGAAAATAACGGTTTTAGGATTTATTTGTGTAAATAACTATGATGTACCTAACTAATTATGTAAATGTGAATAACTATGTTAAAGTAAGGTCATATTAGTTTTTGATAATTATGTTTTATTGCACATTTTAAAATTAGATGGTTGTCATTATATAAGCGATTTCATGTTTATTGTTTGTAATAAAAACATTTTTCGTAATCGATAAATTGTGTCTCTTTGTGATATTGTTTTAACTATTAAGTCCAATAATTAACCATAACCGAGCACTTATCGGCCCCGTTATTGTAATAATATAATACGTCATATACTTATACTTGTACGGTATATAATTTCATTATTCAATAGCAAATGTGGTTATAAGTAAGCGTGTCGGTAACGCAGTGCAGTTTGAGACAACGTACTGCTTTTAACCCACGACAGTGCTGCGAGCCGCGGACGGCCCGCGCAATACATCGTGCAGGCCCAACTAAAAACTCCCACGGTTTTATACACGCGGCTGCCTATCTCATTATATTACTTCATCTATGGTAGTATGTCGATCTTTTTCCATGATATAACACACTTAAAACATTTTTTATAAACACCCACCAACTCACTTGAAAAGGACTGGGTTCTAACACATTGAGACCGGTAGAAATTTATGTCTACAAAAATGCAGCCGGTAAGTTATACGGGAAAAAATCACCCACATGGAAACTACAGCAAAAGCATATTTAGGGGCTATCCCATTGGAGCTACAACTAACAACCAAGTCAATAAAATAAGTTGTACATTTGTAACAAGCCATTTAAGTATATGGATGTTGGCCTCAACAATAGTTGACGTCGGTCCAGTGAGTTCAGACCACACGTCAACTATTATTAATGCCTGTCTGTGGCGAAAATCCATCCGTCAACCATAGTTGACGCTGGTCCGAGGTGAAGGAATTTTTTTTAACATGCCGGTAGTAAAAGTGTTACAGAAATTGATTTATTTCATTTTACTTACTTTTTTTTACAGAAAAAAAGTAGTTCATGTGGCTTCAAAATAGCCAAATACAAAAGTAAATATGGATTCATAATACCCCCGCCGCAGCAAACCTTCAGACTAAGCAAATTTCCATCTACACATCTGGAATTCCACTAAATTATTCCCTTAAAATTGTCAGATTTATTTCCTATTTAAATATCATTAATATTAATGAGTACTTAGGTTTGCTGCTACAGGGAAGAAAATAGGGGGTTTTTATTGAAATTTTAATAGCTTAGTATGAAGTAAACAAAATTTCAAAATTTCATTAAAATATGTCCATAGACAAGCAAGCTACAACACTGTATTTATTCTCCATAAGAATAACATGGTAATTTTAAATTTACACTATTTTGCGATTTTTCCGTAACCGTTAGGCATGCAACAATGCTTCAATATACTAAATTATTTGTTTTTTTGAGCTCTACAAAATGGTTTAAAAAGAAATTGCAAAATTTTATGTTTTCAGGGTGAAAAATTAGAAAAACCCATTTTTACCCCATAAATACCCCCATAAACCCCTGTTCCCATAGTCCGATCATGCTGGTTCACGAACTCGTTCGAATAAATGTAGGTTTACACGTTTATACCAAATTTCATCAAAATCGGATAATTTTTGCTCGAGTTATCGCGCTAACGGACACATATATAAATAAATATATATATATATAAATATATATATATATATATAAATATATATATATATATATAAATATATATATATATATTAATTTGAACGGATGGTGTTTTTGGCCTCTGGGGACCTCAAAACGAAAAACTAAATCGGTCTCGGGTCCAGGTCTTACCATGAGACCTACGGTAATAGCTTATTCCCTATATGGGAAATTCGCTAAAAATTACTGGATATTAAGGCTAGATGTTTATTTTTTGGTATGAATGAAACAGTTTTCAATCAAATACTAGAGTTGTGTAAACCTGAGATTTTCGATAAAGCCAACGCCAAGTTTTTAGCTTTAATCATCTTTCAGACCCCTATTTAAAAAATTTAAATAGGGATATTTTGTTTTTAAGATAAAACAATTAAGTAGCCTAATTTAAAATGAGGTACCAACCCATCACTAGTTTTGTGAAAATGAAAGCTCGGATTTTCGGCTCCATTGTTTGAGCTTTCCTTTTAGGCTGGTCTTGGTTCGGCTCGAATATTGAGCTGCTTGTATACCTCTATCAAATACATTGCCCCTAAATCTAAATTATAATTATATTTTTGGGTCTACACTATGATCTAATTTTTACTCTTGGTAACACTAATACTTACTTTTTGTCCAAGGGGTCTAACGTTTCCCATAGCCGGTCGACGTTGTTTGCAGTAAACACGATGTCATGGTCCACACAGTACGGCATCAGATTTTTGTTGACGTTGTATATTTTGGTGTACACTTTCTTGAGCCTGAAACAAGTCATTACAGGTAAAACTTAACAAAATACCTACTCTTCAACAAAGGGAACTTACTACATAAACATCTAATTTATTGACTACACAATATAGTTTCAGTAGACTAAAACTGTCATATAGATTCCTTGCCAAAAACTCTCTAATTCTAACCTTACTTAGTTAAAAATGCAGTCAGTGACAGTGAAATTCAAAATTAAATTCAAATAATCATTATTTGTTAGTAGTAGGCTTATACAATACATACATAAATAGTGTCAAGTACAGGTATTGAAAAATGAAAAACAATAAGGTTTCTTAGAGTTAACAATGTAAAAATTGACATTACTTCCTACAACTCATCGAAAGAATAAATAGCTTTGTTGATGAGGTACTGCTTCAATTTAATTTTGAATTTTTTTGTTGATACCTCATCTGTTATGCTTTTTGGAATTTTGTTATAAAATTTTGAACCAGCATATATTTAGGTTTCTTTTTGAAAAGTTTCGAGAGCGTGAGAGCTCATTGCGATACAGCCCCGATTTCTGGTGTGTTCTGGTGTTTCTGGTAGTTGAATATTCTAGTTTTAATGTATAATGAAAACGATTGGGTATCTTGTGCCGGAGTGGACTCTTTCGCATTCAGAAAAGTCTACTATCCTCACACAAAATCATTGAAACTATCATATTCTTGGCATCACCAAAAATTGATGAAACTATAAAATACCCCTGCCGCAGCAAACCTGCAAACTAAGCGCATCTCCATTTGCCTGATTGCATTAACTCTAAAATATCTCCTAAAAAAATAGCACATCCATTCCCTATTCAAATAGCATTCGTTTAGAGTACTTAGGTTTGCTGCAACAGGGAGGGTAAAAAAGTGTTTATTTTGTGTGAAATGTTGAGTTTGGGATGAAATAAATACATTTTCCACAATTGATCAAAATATGTACATAAACAAGCAAATTACAACAGTTTACTTATTCTCCATATGAATAACATGGGACTTTTAAATTTAATTTTCACATTTATAATAGTATGATATAAGAATTTGAACGAATGGTGTTTTTGGCCTCAAGGTACCTCAAAATGATAAAGTAAATCGGTCCCGGATCCAGGTCTTACCATGAGTACGGCTACGGTAATAAAAGTTAACAACAGTTTCAACTCACTTTGGAGTTTTCCCAATAAACTGGAGATACATGTCCATCAATATCCCTGGAATAACATGGTACCAGATGGACAGTAGAGTGAAGGCTGTTTTGTTCTTGACAAGCATGAAGCTAGGAACAGCAATGCTATTTATAGACTCCATCCGTTCGTTGGCCCCATGACCAAAGTTGGCAGTGCGCAGGATATCGTACGTTATCGGGTTCTTGGGCGATGAGACAAGGTTGTAGATTTTCCTGGTTCAAACATTAAACACTGTTACATAAGTTAAGTTTGCATAAAATATAGAACAATTAGTATTTTTTTACCAACGACAGCAGACAGGTACAGTAGACAATTTTTAAACTGTTCCAGGATCAATTAATTGTTGCTCTGATTCTGATTAACCGCCTGTGCCTGGGCAAAAATTGAGGCAAGTTTATCTACCCTGAATTTTAAATCTGATTGGGTAGATCTAAGTAATCTAATCTTTCATTCAAGAAATAATAGTTATTTGTGTAACGCGGAGATCGCGGATGACGGCGATGACATTCCCGTGACCTATAAGCATTCCTACAGTCACTATAAGCATATAAATAATTAGTCTTTCAAACATTATAAAACACGTTTTTAGGTTAGGTTAAACCCAAGTGTTGAACGGAATGGGAAACACTGTACCAGCTGAGAATAAACAAGTAATTTACTAACTTTCTTACTTACGCACCAAGAAGAAAACAATTTGTATGCTCGTTCATACTTCTTCCTAGATTTTTCAGGAAACAGGTTTAATGAAACATGTTTTGCAGTTTCTGCTACATATTTCTTCTGGTGTACACATATATTCACAATCACTGAGTTCATTATTCTCTAACATGTTAGACCCACTTATAATTATTCTTTCAAATACTACACTTTAGGTTATGTTTAATCCAAGCGTTGAACTAAAATCCATATATAAAGCCCAAAGTACCCATGAACTTTTGAGAAAACTACAAGTCACACCCCCATAAACCATATACTTAAAATATTCGTAATGACGAGAAACCTTGCGCAAAACTATCCATTATTTCATAAATTAATGACCCCTTAAGGTCGTAATTCCTTTCTAAAGGGAACTTTCCATGTACCTAATGTTAAAAATACCTCAGCTGTACTTATTTGTTTATTTCAGCTTAACTTAACCAATCAATCGTTTTATTAATACTTATGAAGTCAAACGGGGTGAAGCCCGTGGGTTACAGCTAGTATAAAATAAACACAAAATGACAGGTTAATTCGTAGTATCAATAGTCTATCAGCTGATCATAATAGTAGTATCTTTAAGTAACCGCAGGGGGCCCACGCTTGCGTGGGTTCGTGGCCTGGGCGACCACGCGGACCCTAGCTCTCCCAGAGGGGAGGTAATTGCCCGGTGTTGGAACCGGCACTTCAGGTAGACCACAAGCTATGGACGACTGGACAAGCCAGCCTCTTTGGGTTTACCCAAAGTGAGAGTACCCAGTGACATTCCCTCCATTCAGGGTGGTGGGGTGTTCAGCTCTGCTAGTGTTGATTAAGTTCATAGATCTTTCACCTGCCTGTAGCTTGTGGTTGTGACTGTGTCCTACCTGTTGTGTACGACTGACATTTTGTGAGGCATATCCTCGACTTTGGAAGTAGCCTCGTCCTGGGAGGTGAAATACCTAGCCCCCAGAGGGGAGGTAAATGCTCCGTGTTGGTATCGGCATTTTCAAGTAGGCCACAGACATGGACGACTGGGCATTGGGTCCCAGTGACATTCCTTTATCCAGGATGGAGGGGTGTTTAGCTCTAGGAGAGATGGAAGTGCATCATAATCTCTAACCTACCTGTGTCTGTGGTTCTTTGGGCTTCGGCCTGCTTGTTGTGTGCGACCAGCATTCAGTGGGCAAATCCTCGACTTTGGAAGTAACCTTTCCTGGAGGTGAAAACGGGCAAGTACCCGTAGCTCACGGGGACACTCAAGGGCAACGTAACTTTCCGCAGTGTGAGGGCAACGGTTTGTAGGCACTTATGCAAACCAATCCCTGTCTCTGAGCACGGACGGTATGGTTATCTTGAGTGTGGGGGGTTCTTCCCGGAACCTCAATTGAGTCAAGGGTGTCGCCACCTCTGGTGGATAGGTTCATCCGGGTGGGTCCCACTTCTATACCTGCCTCCTTTTGGGAAACCCTGATGGCCTGGCAGTGATGTTGGGTCTGACGGGCAAACGAAGTAGATCGGGTGCTGGGTCCGAGCCCGCCAGGGGTATCTGGGGATCTATCGCTCTGGTTATCTCTGGTTTCCCAGCAATGGGTAAGGCCTCGATCGGGTAGTGGTGTAAATGGGAGGTTGGGGTTCCCCCCGTCAGCGTGCTGACGGTCCCCTTCCTCCTGGCTATTGATGGCGGGTTCTGCCTGTCAGGGATTAGATAGGTCCCGAGTGTTGCTTGCACTAAATGCGTCGGGGCGCTCCACCATGGACCTCTAGGTCCTGACCTAGTGGAACCCAGGTGGAGTGACGCTTAAACAAGCAGCCGGAATCCCTGGTTAGGATTGAGGGGCAACCCTCCTTCCGAAGGGTCTGCTTCGGCAGCCGGCGAGCCTGATGACCTTAAGTCATCCGCCCATGATGTGCTAAAGGTTGATGCTTAAGCTTCGGCCTACATCATGGGGCCCGGGTATGTCCTAAAGGATAGGTACCGGGTATGCAGTCAGGGGGCTTCGGCTCTCATGACAAATAAATAATAATAATAATTAGGGATGGTCAAGTCTCGAAATTTCGGGAAATTTTAAATCTCGTTACACAAGACGAGATTTCTTTATGGCCGAGATTTTTATCGAGACGAGAATAAAAAAAAAAAAAAAAAAAATTAAAAACGCCTGCAGAAAGTCAATGCAATACCCGCAATACAGGAGCGTGTTGTAGTTGCGTTTCCTTTGCGAAGGCGTTCTTATTAATTAATTCTTTAAATGTAAATATTACTTTAATTATTTTAATAATATTACTTTAAAAACATTTGAGAAGTTTTGTTAAGTGTAAGCAGTGTGAGGAATGTTTTATTACTATAAAAAGTCAAAACAAGTACCTAACTATTTTATAAAAATTGATATTGCTTTTATTTTATGATTTATTTTATTTTAGGATAAGTTGAACTCTATCCTAAATGATATCACTATGTTTCCTAATTGTAGGCATTTTTAATAAGTTAGGCGTGATTAATAAAAAAATGTTATGCTGATGTTTTTTAATAAAAGATTGTAAATATTCTTGCCTATTATCATTATTTTTGTATTTAAACAGTCATCTAACAATGTTACAAAATCAGGTAAAAATTTTGAACGTGCATTTCCCGTTGTGTATGAGAAGGGAAATCCCGTCTCGATCTCGTCTCGAAATTTTATGAGAAATAAAAAATCTCGTCTCGTCTCGTCTCGAACTAAAAATCCAATCTCGTCCATCCCTAATAATAATAGTATCTTTAAGTGTTGCCAACCTACTTCCAAGCGTACACGGATTACGTGCATAATAAAACCATCCTGTTTTGTGTTGTTTGGTTTGAATACTGGTGTGCGCCAAAGTGAACCAAGCGCCAAAGTGGTGTGCGCCAAGCAACAAAGTATAAACAGTACGACAAAGTAATGCAGCAATTAGCAGCTTTCTGTACTGTAATCAGTGCAAGGAAGCCAACTTTGTCGGGTGACTGAAAGAAAAAATATATATTTGTCAAATAAAAAAAAAATATAAGTTTAGCTACAATAAAGATAATGTATTTTAAAATCTTGATTTATGGTCAAATTATTATGTATTATTAATACAATATATTGTAAATATGTCCCAAAGACTTTAGTATTCTTGAATAATGAATATATAACTCGTTAGTAAAATTATATGTATTAGAATTTTGTTTACAAATTCTTTTTAAACTACATACAGCTGTGTGTTGGAGACGGCCACTTCCCACGTGGCTGCCAGAGTCATGTTGATGGCTGTGTCTACAGGGATCATGTCTCCCACCATATCAGGGTCAGCACACCACAGTCGCATGAGACCAAGCGCTGTCCCTGTCACCACTCCCACGGCACCGTAAACATTGTTGATCCACCCTACCAGCGGCTCCCTCCACGTCGACACCACTGCCAACCAAACACAACACAGTTTCAAGAACATGTCCAGCGAACACAGCACCATCAATCACCATGTTAACGAACACAGATTAGATTACAGTCTTGATGAATTTATGATAGGTACACACTGGGTGTATACTATTTTTTTTAAGTGAAATTCCAGGCTTTTTCCTAGGTTTTCCAAGTTTTTTCAAGTTCCCGCATGAGCATTATAATAATTCCCGCGTAAATGTTTAGTTCAACTTAAACTATAACCAATTTAAGACTTGCCGCTTGAGTATACATCAATATACATCACATTTGTATATTTCTAATTGTTCTAAAGTTCAGTGAGCAAGTGTTAAAAAAATAATGATCCTTATTATAGTAATCATTTTAATTATCATCAATACTTAAGGCCACAAAAACATTGTCTCTCTCGATAGCAGCAAAATCCTAAATATTATCTCCATTTCTCATGAAAACATTACCATCAGCGGCAATATCCTGAATATCTCCAACGGTGACGCAAATATCATCACAGTCTTCCTCGATCGCAGGAAATTCCTGAACGTCTCACCCGGTTTGCAGACATAACATCATCTCTCGCGGTCACAGTAAGATCATCATCATCATCCATGATCATGGCAAAATCATAGACATCTCCTGCGGTATGTAGACAACATCATTGACTCCTGCAGTCATGGAAACTTCATCGTCGTCCGCAATGGCGGCAAAATCACGAAAATCTTACGCAGCCGTGAACACATCATTATCGTCGTCTTTAGTGGTCACGGAAACGTCATCATCGTCTTCCACAATGGCGGCAAAATCATTGACATTTTCCGTTGCTGTGTAGACGTCATCATCGTCTTTCGTGGTCAGTGAAACGTGATCCTCGTCTTCCCCTGTTGCAGCAAAATCACAAAAATCTTCTGAGGCCGTGTAGACATCATCATTGACTCCCGCAGTCACGGCAACGTCATAGTAGACATCCGCAATCGCGGCAAAATCATGAAGGTTTCCCCCGACCGTGTAGACGTCACTGTTTTCTCCCGCGGTCTGGGAAACGTCATCAGTCTTCCTCATTTGGGGCAAATGCGTGAATTTTTTTATCGCACGAACTTGGCAGACGCGTTTTACAATTATTGCGATTAGTACTGGGGCTAAAACAAAAATCCTAGAATCGCTCCGAAAAGCCCAGTTTTTTCCCAGTTCTGCCGGTTTTCCCAGTTGGTATACACCCTGTAAACATTACTAAATTTAGAACTGCTTTCATACCGGTAATTATTAATTTTATTTTGTGTAATCTCTAATATTGTGTATTATTATTTGTAAGTAGACTTAAGCATTATTTGAAGCTATTTAATGTAATGACTGTACATTGAAGAAAAAGAAGTTTTGATTTTATTTGATTCAGGCCTTAAAAACCTAGGCCTATATAACAACAGATATTGGGATGACTTAGAAGTTGGAAAGACAATCCAGGTTTCCCACCCTCAAAACTTAAAATTTAAGGTCAAATCTAGTCACTGCTTTATACCTCCTGCTAGTACATACATATTAATATCCTTTCTGTGAATTACGTGATAATTTTTTGAGATTGCGGCCACATCGGTGATCATATCTTTTGATCGCAGCAACATTAGTGAAAATTTACCGCGATGTCGGATATCCGTGAACATATTTTGAAATCGCCGCAAAATTTGTCATAATTTCTTGTGGTCACAGCAACATACGTGATAACGTCTTTCGATAGCGACAACATCCCTTTATCTTCCTGGCTATCATGTCAAAAACTTTGATCATTTCTCACTGATCGCAGTAACAACTGTGATTATATACCGCAATGGTGACAACACTTCACGCAATCGCAGCAACTTACGCGATCGTCTCCAACAATAATTTCAACTCCTGCAAATATTTTTTGAGATCCCGGCCATCTGAGATTATTTTGCAATCACGGCAACAAACGTTATGATTTCCTGCAATCAGGGTGAAATTCTTTATGGTCTTCCGTGATCATGGCAACATCTGTTATTCGTGATAGCTAGCTAGTGCCGATCGCGGTTTTCAACTTCCCAAAACGACAAAAATTTGTGGTTTTGAGCAGATTTTTCAGATGTTATTTAAACATTTAAATTTTCCGGTTCTTTACAAAATTCACGTACAACTCCCGGGTTCCAGGTCGGCTGGACACACTGTTTAAGTATCTGTATGGGCTTTAGCTGCTTGAAAATTAAATACATTTAAATTAAGTAGGCCAAGTGTAATAAATACATAATTTAAACCAAACCCCTGTCCCATTGCCCAAAACTATTTCTAAATACTAATGGCATAAAATTGGCATTCCAATAATGCCAACACAGAAGCTATTTATTAATATAATTGCTGAAAAAAAGGTCTGTTACTTTTAAAAAACAAATGATTAAATCTCACCTATTGATGGGCGAACGACACCGATGGGCAGAACACCGTCATATTTTGACACAAGGTTTTCCGCACATGCCTTGGTGAGGGCGTATGTATTTGTCCACCTCCCGATCAACCTTGGAGACAAGAAAAAGGTAGCTTGTAAAATCTATTTATCTTAATGGCTTCATCGACATAAATCATTGGAATTTTTGTTGCGTTACGATTTACACAAATTGCAACTTTTTAAATGAAATAACAAACAAATTCTGATCTTGAGTGAATACAAGTACAGCTTGTTTGTATACCATTGTTATTACAGTAGAACCTCGGTTATCCGGGGTAATGGGGGGGGGGGGGAGGAGGGAGACCACGGATAACTGAAAACCAGGGGTTAATCCAACACTTGATGAAGGTATGTATTACAAACCGATAAGAACGCCTATATAAATGGATGTTAATGTGATGATTAATTTGCTTTTGACATTTAACATCATGTCTTTATGCCATAAACTATTATTTTGATAATGAGGTATTTTTCAAGTAAAGAAAAAAAGATGCAGCAATGAAAAATTTGAACTAGCTAATTTGGGTTTTTTTGGATCATGAAAATCTTCCACTGCCATGTGGACATCATCATTGACTGCCGCGGTCACAGAAACGTGATTGTCGTCTTCCGCGATCGAGGCAAAATCATGAAAATCTTCCACGGCCATGTATATATCATCAATTGCCACGGTCACGGTTCCAAACGTCATCGACGTCTAGCGCGATCGCGGCTTATCATAAACATCTCCCACGGCCATGTAGACACCATCATCGTCACCTGTGGTCACGGAAACACGATCGTCGTATCGTGCGATCGTGGCAAAATTATGAAAATTCTGGAGGTAATAAAATTTCTCTGTTTTTGACTAGCTCATCCAACCTAACCAAAATGGTGCACGTTACCCTTTTAATCAAAACACTTATGTTAACAACATTAATTACACAATACAAAACAATATACGGCACAGTACAAAATTTGGATAGCTCAAAACGTAGTGTGGTTAAAAAATTGGCAATAGAAAATGAACTTGCTGTAATCCTTTGTTTTCCATTTAGTACTTAAGTTTTGTGTTAACCTTTAGCTATACAGACATATTTTAGCTCAAAAAACCGGTCCTGGGGCGTCCGAACTAAAGGGAGTCTACTGTAGCACCAATGTAAAGAATAACAATCAGGTAAGAATGATAAAAAACTACTTTTACTTATACTTATAGTTCACATTAACTAGGGGTGTGCGATGCATCGAAAATACAATTCGATTCGATTCATTGGTGATTAAAAAACTATTCGATTCATGAGGGAGTCAGTATCCACATACGAAAAACGCCTGCAGAAAGTCAATGCAATACCCACAAAACAGGAGCGTGTTGTTGTTGCGTTTCCTTTGCAAAGGCGTTCTTTTTAAACTACTTCGTTGCTTGTAAATATTGCTTTAATTGTTTTATAGTTTTTTGTTTTGACATTGCAAATGATAAGAAGTTTTGTTTTGTTAAGTGTAAGCAGTGTGAGACATGTTTTACTACTGTAAACATAGCCAAAACAAGTCACTCCAAAATCATTCTAAAAATAACACAAGTCTTAAAAATTGTCACTTAATACTTATGTTCCGTCAAGTGTCTTTGTTTTATGTATTATTTTTTAAATGTCTTCGTTTTTAACAGTCCATGTAATTTAATCACATGACCATATCCATTGTTGCATTCATTCGCCTCAAATCACCTCTCATAACAACACGTACTCATTTTTTCTTTTAATAAATCAACCTCTTTATACCAAAACCCTCGACTTTTTCCTCTCTAGTATAATTACACCGCACATTTAACTAGTAAGATTGATGTTTTAGACTGATAAATTTGGTATTTTAGTAGGTCTGAAGATATGTATACCTTGTAGGTCTGATTCTATCCTCCAATTTTATCAATGTAAACCAATTGAAAGTTTCAGTATAAATCTTGTAAATGTTTTTATTTGTTTACACCAAAACATATCTTTATTTGTAAAATCAATATTACAAAATAGGTCAAATGCTTAACAATATTATTCTGCAAGTAAAAATTATGAAATAGGCAAATAAAGCAGCTCACTGAAATATCCAGCAATACAGGTTATTCTAATATGATTTAAAATAAATGTCTACCTAAAATTCATATGTGTCATATGTATGAATCGGCCTATAACCACATCAACAAAAATTTGCATTACACAATTGTGGTAAATTTTCATTAGCCTATTGTTATTTCATTCAATTGACAAGTATGAAAATAAAAATGCCGTATTGCTTCAAATCGAGTTGCATCGATTCAAATCGAAAATCTTTTGAATCGAATCGAAATTTTTTTGCTGCTTCGCACACCCCTAACATTAACAAATGTCAAATCCTTACTTGGGCGTCAAGGCACCTATTTGATGGTCATCCATGTCTCGACATATCTGACCAATTTCTTCCTCGTCATATATAACACTGTAGAATGTCTCCTCCACCAGGTCTCTGTAGGCATGTGTATAAGCAGTGGAAACATACATGAAAGCCTAAAAAATAAATGATCGTTAACAAAATATGTAATATAAATTGTTAAGTTATAATTTCAACATTCGCTTAGAACCTAAAACTTCCAAAACTATTCACTCCAGAAACTTCACCATTGTCCAAGCTTGATTTGGAAATAAAATAAGTAGTGTTTAAACTAAAAAAAAAAAAAAAAAAAAAAAAAAAAATACTTAAATACATCTGATAAACACAATCATTTTAAAAGATTAGCCTATTTAACCAAACATGTATTGCATTCAATGAAAAAAAAGCTTTCCGCTACTTTTAACAATTAGACCTTTTTATTTAATTTTCATGATTTCATTTATACAATTTTATTGTTAAGGTTCTGTTTGCGTCATGCATGAGGCTGTGCTTTTGGTAATTAGATTAAATGATCATCCCATAAATAGATATAAATAGATAGGTATAAATAGATAGAAGTAAATAGACAGTATGCATGAAGATGTTTTGAATTGCTGGTGTTACGTCCAGCAGTTAGATGTTGTAAATCACAGTGTAGTTGGCGGGGGTAATTGGGTAATTCGTTTGTAGTTTGCATTTTGTGGCAGTCATCAGCCTTAATCCCGAACCATCTGCTAACCTGGTCACTTTACTTACTACTGTGTTTGCCATTTACCTTGAGTTGAGGCAGAGTCCTAGCAAACTCCAGCAGACACTTGGTGGCCAGTACGTTAGTGGTGTAAGCTATCTTGAGGTGTTGGTCCATCTGCAGGTTGGCAGCCACGTGGTAGATGAGGTTGACTGAGGACATCTGTCGCAAGTCCTCCTGTCCCAGTCCCAGGCCAGGCTCACTGCAGTCTCCTGTCACCACCCTTACCTTCCTCACCTCTCCAGGCTTCTGTAGCTTCAGTGACTCAAACAACTGCAGAGAGAGAGAGAGAGAGAATTTTCAGTTAAAATTAAACACTTTATTGTGAATTTTCCTAGGAAATAAACCATGAGTCTCATGGTAAGACCTTGGGACCAAATTACTATTACAGGGTGTCTACTACATTCTGGATAAAAAATTCATGGACAATTCCCGTACATTTAAGGACACTTTGCCGTAACCTTTGTCGGTGTCATTAGGCCTACCGAATAATTTTCCTGATTTGTCAAACTGTATTAATCTTGTTATTCACTGTAGTTGTACCAGAGAGAAAAGTAAATAATAATAGATAAGAGTTAAAAATTACAAAATAGAAATTTATTGAAAGTAAACAAACATAGGCCTACCTATACTTTGGGTAGGCCTAAAGCTTTTATAGTGTAACAGAGAAACGCAATCATTGTCTCCTGCGATAGCGACAAATATCTCCATCCGTCACGTAAACTTCATAACATAGCTTATCCGATCCAGGCGGGTTAATTTGGCATGATTCGCCCTGGCACAACGTTAGTTTCTCGACTACTTTTGAAAAAAAAATCTTGAATGCATATTGTTACTCAATTCTTAGTACAAAATCAAGGTATGGTAAGCGGCTATTAATAAGCAACGAGTAATGTCCAGTGGTCGAAACTCGACCAAAAATATGTAATGTACTCACTTATGTTAATGTTTCACCCCACACTGTAAATAAAACATGTGATTAGAGTTTCTTCCATTTGTTTTGATTTTCTGTTTATATTTCGTTGTTATTTCGTCACCAGCATGGCAATGCATAAGATCCATGTAAATTTTTTCAAATTTTTAAACTCATTTTTTGCGCTTTTCTTTGAGCCTATTTAAATTTATAAAGGGATTCTGCACACCTACAGGAAAACAGCTTTCTAACGGTATGCGTAGATTTTCCCTACGATGCACACGAGCTGAGAAAAAAGGTTTTAAAGAAACATGCTTGCCTATTAATATATAGATAGATAAGCACAGAGTAAGATTATTGTATTTTCATTTGTAAAGTTAATATCGACACATAGCAATCATTAGTTGTTTATCTTAGGCTCAATTACATTTTCTTAATATATTTTACAACTCTTTCAAGAATCAAAATACCCAGGCCTAAGCCTAATTATTTAGGAGGGCCTATATAAACTGAGTAACAAACAATGAGGTTATAATAGCAGCAAAGTTACTATCATTCTAGTTCATAAGATTTTGATTGCTTAAAGCATACAACTCAATAAATAAATATATGGGAAACAAAAAACATTGAAACCTGAATAGCCAACAATATAAGACAAAGATACAGAAAATGCAATGACATAATTTGAAACCAAGCAGGCCTACATAGTGATAAAACATTAATGCAAACAACAATGCTTGTGGTTTTGTCAATTGAAAGATAAAATGTCCATAAAAAAGGGGTTAACTTACAAAATGAGACTGTAGATTATTTACATGTTTAATATGAAACCATAAACAGTTTTATGGCAGTAGGCACTGGCCGTGGTAAATTGAAACTTCAAGCCGAAAGTACAAGTAAGAAGTGAAATTTAACAGCCATTATAAAGCTATTATTTTCACGATAAAATAGGTTTGGGATCTAATAATAATTACCCTAGTAATAAAAAGAGAAGTTGTAAAGGAATAAAAGTGATATAACTTTTATGAGCTAGCTGCTGAGTCAACAGTTCTTGGAAGTACTTGACTTGACACTTGATTGTCGTGATAAAATATTAATGGGTTTGAGATTGTTAATGGGATTTTTATTGCATAATTACTCTAGTAATAAATTATGAAAATGTAAACAAACATCTGATAAACCTTTTATGTGCTCCTAACCAACTAGCGATCAATAAAATTATGGCCCATTAAAAATTTAAGGACTTTGTCTGGCATTTAAGGACAATTCCCGTACATTTCATGGCCAGTAAAAATTTAAGTACAATTCCCGGTTTTCCCGGATTTCCCGGTTGGTAGACACCCTGTATTAGTTTGATGTCCCAAGAGGCCAAAATCATTATTTGGAAATTTGTATTTGCATTTGTGTCTGTAGGCTAATATAATGACTTCTGTAGTAAGTGTCCAATAACATCTCAAGTGAAAACTACCTAATTTTCATGAAATTCGGTACGAACATCTAAAATAATTTTTGAAGCTAATTTATTGGTTAACAATGTACACGGATGTATTTTTTGAGACTGAGTTAGTTTAAATAATGACAAATTATGACAAAAAATACTGTTTACTGTTTATCAGATGGGCCAAAAGTGTCTTTTCGACCCAAGGCCATTTTCCAACCTCAGCTTAAATTTGAGAGCTAAAGAAATATTTTTACAAAACTCACCCTATCATCTAATATGGACGACAACCTTTCTTGTGATTTTACTCCTTTTTTGTCCCTCACTAGAATAAATATTTGAGCCACATCACATGTTCTGCAACAAAATATTACAAAATAATAGAAGCCACCATTATAATATTTGACATATACCAAACAAAAAAGGTTCACTTAACTTGCAAAACTAATTCAAAGAAAAATAAAACAAATACGTTTCATAAAAATAATAAAGGTTGTATAGCTTTTGGTGACATACGTTATCAAAATATGGCTTAAGACCAGAATTTAAGCACTAGGTTGAGGTAGACACTACTTAATGTCATTAGTGAAAGATTCAGTCACCAACTATTTGTTATGTATTGAGATTAATTGGCTGACAATTCTTTGTTTGCACACCTTAGTATTTTCTCCAAGAGGACCCTCCCCATGAACCCTGAGGCCCCTGTTATGAACACGTGAGCTCCTTTGAACAGTTTCTGTATTGGACTGTCTTCCTGCTGTTCAAGTGGAGGGTCGTCCAGATCATCCCTAGCTTCGTAGTAGTCCATTATCCAACCTGAAATTTGATATTTATTTTTTTATTGTGAGTTTAGACAAAAGAGACCTTAGATAAAAATTTACAAGTTACTTGTCTTGTGTTGTGGTACTTTGTTCCTTTAAGGCAGGGGTGTGCGAATATTCAAAAGTTCGAATAGTTGAACGGAGCGCGACTCGAACATAATGAGGATATTCGAACATTCGAATAGTAAACAAACCTAGAAATATTCTCTAATTTCAACCAAATAAATTATGGTATTGTGTTGTTTTATTTCATCCCAACATTTCATGCTTCGTCTTATAAAGCCACAACGGCAACGTCAGCATATTACGACATCTTCCTCAACTCTAAAGCATACACGACCATTTTCAAGGACGATAATTTTGTTGTGTCATTATTCAAATCACTCCGCTCAGCTGCCTAGCTTACAATGCTCCAATACGATAGGCGTACTGCAACCTACTGGCATGGAAACACAAGACTGTCAACCATTCTTATTTGATTAATTAACAATAGCCTATATTTAGCAGCAATTAAGTTTGTATTAGTTTATCAGACAGATATCTATTTGTATAACGAACTTAAAGTACAGTAGAATGACGAAATAAGTCGTCTGAAAGTGTTGTCTGAGTAGCGACTAGTAAGCTATGAGGTTAGAACTGCACTTCACAGTCTTTAGCATAGATTAAACATACTCCTTAACAAAACACGAACTAAAGTGGATTGATTTCTATGAAAATAATCAACAACATTTTTTCCATTTTTGAACAGAGAAATATCTTTTTTTAACTCTACTTTCTTGTTTTGTTACACAATTTTGTCTCTGCTTCTCTTCTGAAACAACACAACCAGATGCGTAATAAAGGCCAATGACCTAAATATCATGATTGTGCAATGTTGTATTTTGATATAAAAATGCAAACCATGGCATTAATATGAATGTATTTAATTCAAATTATATTTTTGATTATTCAAAGTTTCTACACAGAAAAAGAGAATCTAAAGTCAAACCGGGCAAAGGATTCCCGAAAATACAACTTTGTATCATTGTCCTGCTAAGGGAACAAGCCAGCCCTTTAGTCTAAATATAGCTTCAAGGTTGCACCCTCCTCTCCCCCCTGGCCATCTCCATTCACAGTGGCCCACTCCTTTTGAGGTCATTGCCCAACCCATCCCACTTGTTCTATTCTATTCTATTGTTTTGCCTTCTAGTATTTCTATTCTGACTTTTTCTTTAAACATTAAATTAAATAAATCATGGAAGTCGTAAAGGAATAAAAGAGATAAAACTTTATAGAGCTAAACTACTGACTCAACAAGTTCTTGGAAGTACTTGACTTGCCTACAACAATTATTGTCGTCATCAAATTAATGGTTTTGGGACTGCTAATGGTTTTTTACTGCCCCATTACTCTAGTAATAAATTATGAAAATCAAAACAATCATCTGATAAACCTTTTTATGTACTCCTAACCAACGACATTGAACTGAAAGTAATTAATAAAAATTAAAAGTTTAAGTTAAATAACCCGTTATTGTGTTGGTTGGAAAAAAGTAACCAGTTGTGTTACATTATCTTGTCAAAATGTTGCTGCAAACATGTTTATTCCAAAAAAATCTTTACCTTATTTTTAACTACTTTATTATGGCTATGACCTATCTTAGTAGTAAAATAGGTTAAGCCTTTATCTTAACTGTTTTTTTTCTTGACATAGTCATGTTAGGAGTCAAAGGTGTTGATAATGTGTGATACTGTAATTGTTGTCAGAAAACCATAAATGTAGGAAATTATTCATTTTTATAGTAATATCAATTAAATAAAATGAGACAAATACTGGAAGCCCTGTACCGTACCCATTTTGTACCAAGAACAAATAAAATAGGTAAGGGCAAAAATTGATTACCGGTATTTTAAAATGTTGCATTGGTTAAAATCAGAATTATTAACCTTAGTAGAGTTCCAAAGCTGTGATTGGAAAACTCTTTGTAGTCTGTAATAATAACATAAATATTCGCTCGGTAATATTTGATATTCAAAAATATTATGAAGTATTCGATTTGATTTGATTCGAACCCAAAAATCACTATTCGCACACCCCTACTTTAAGGTTGGCAGACTCTTTCACCTCGGATTTGCCTGTCAACATGAACCTCTAAAGCTTGTGCATTGAACGTAATATTCAAAGGAAGAGTAGGAGGATAGGAAGAGAAGATCGAACTGTACTGATAAATTTCAAGCTGCGGTCTCGAGACCAGAACTGAGACATTGCTGACTTTGTTGTAGTCTGTTGCATTACTTACTGAGTCCCTCACTTACCTATGGCCTACCAACCGGCAACCACCCTAACAATTTACGTCCCTAGACATTATCGCAAGGTTATAAGGAGGGGAGTAAAAGCAATGGCAAGACAAATATGAAAGTGAAACCCAGATAGAAGGGGAACCCATTGGAGGCCAAAAGAAAAGGAGGAAAGATGAAGAGGTCAAAGACATGAGGACATTGAAGGCCGATGAGAAATCGTTGGATCAGAAGTTGTCCATGGGGGTAAATTTAAAAATTAATCTCAAAAAGTCAAAAGTATAATGTTTGTCTAAGTAATTCAAATGTTATTTTTTTATTTAATGATTGGAAATTGGATTCACTTTTTTATTTAACAGCTACTTGCCATCAAGGACCTATGTAATTGATTGTTGAATACCGAGTTACATTTTAATATCAGCCTTTGCCTTCATCAAAGTTCATTTATGAAATGCAATTAAGGACAACTTTGGGTAAAATATTCGACTAGACTCGGTTCAGTAGTTCTGTTAATCCATGGATTTAGAGAAATTTCACTGTAATGTTTTATTCATACAGGTCAGTGCACAATGCATTCACCAGCCAATGCATTGCATAGATAATTCACACATGGACTACTGCCTAAAAACCTGGCAAAACCAGATTTCCACGAATTAATGTAATAAAATATTCCTCAAATTTGTTTGTTTTTATTATAATTTTTGTAAGAAATAAATTTTTTTTTTAGAGTCTAAAAATGTAATTTCACACTAAAATATTACTGTTCTGAAAAAGGCAAGGGTGACTTAACAAGCAGATAAAATTATTAGATACATCAGCTGATAGCCAATTTAACCAATTGGGGAAGGAATTAATGAGCTGCCTGCAGTGCCCTCTGTCAGCAATTAATTTTAACAAATTTGTAGACATTTACTCTAATTGTTATATATATGATATATTATTGTATTTTTATTGACACCATTGTATTATTCTTAATGAAACTACAAAATAAAGAATGATTTGATTTTATTTGATTTGATTCCCTACATTGAAAAATAACAAGTTGTTTACTTTTATTTATAAGTAGGTAATAACAATAACAAAGAAAAATAATTGTTTGTTTTACCTTATAACAGCTCATTTTGGGTGATATCTGGTTTCCATGGCAACACAACCATTGTTATTCCCAAAAATAAATTATTAAATACTCAAAACCAAAAGCAAGATAGCCTATTTATAAACATCATAAAAGTTAAACAAAAATTTAAAAAAAAAACAAGCTAAGCTCATTTAGTTGGATTTTGGGCCTGCAGTGGCCAGACGAGTAACGCTCGTTAAGTCGGCGTCAATGGGTTAGTTGAAGAGACGCAAGACAAGGGAGATCAGTAAAGCAGGCAATTGATAAATAATGTTATTTCTATCTAATTACAATTTAAGAAAGGATTATTTTTCATAAGCCTTATATTCTGAGCCCCATTTCATGAGAGTTGGAAAGGTTTGAGGTAACATCGCCAACATCGGGATTGTTGGAACATTAAGTAAATAAGGGGGAGTTTACTGGGATTACGATGTGGAGACAGACCTGTGGTGGTGTGATCACAAAATGTAGGCAGTTGTAGGGGAAACAATTCCATCCCATCCACCATACCCTACTTTTGAAAAAACAGCTGGACAGATAAGCTCATAACTGTCAATCAGCTATAACATACATCTAGGAAAAAAGTAGAGGATGAAACCAGAAAACTTCCCCTGAAACTGCCTGAGTTTTTTGAACGGACTATAGGAGAGTAGGGCTCTACTACAACATTGAAAGGGATACTTTAATGGCAACATGTAGTATTTTTTAAGTATTTTGAAATTTTGATTTCATTATTTTTTTTAGATGTGGATCTTCAAAAAACAAGTGAAAATCTATATATTTAATTCTATAAACGAATCGGTCCCCATGAGATACCTCGAGCTAGGAAAAAGGTACCATGGCTGTTGAGGATCTATATATTTAATACACAGTTGTAACACTGATTTCTCAGTAATTACTGGACCGATCCACAAGATCTATGTGTCAAATTAAAGGGGATGATACATAGATTTGCTGAACTTCATTAGAATTCACGATTTTTCTAAGGGTTAAGACCTACAGCCCTTCAAAGGTTGAGTCAATACAATTCTTATTGAAGAACTAGCTGTGTACCCGTTCTACGCACGGGGATCTTATAATATTCAGTTGAAACCTTCTTATATAACGAACAGCAGTTGGTTTGCATATTTTAAGATATGCTGGCCAAACTATTATACATAGCTTCATTTTATGTTGTTTTTTGTTGTTCCGGATCGGTATGACAATCAATAAAAGGTTAAATTACCTCTGTGTCTGCCGGTCGATCCTATAACGGTAGGCTTACTTTTATTTTTACTATCTGATCTCGTTTGCATGGCTCAATCACGTCCTGGTTGAAGTTCGTTCGCTACGCTCACTCACCTGTATGTTGGAGCTCGTTCGCTGCGCTCACTTTCCTTCAGGTTAGCTCGTTCGCTACGCTCACTTGCCTTCAGGTTAGCTCGTTCGCTACGCTCACTCGCCTCCAGGTTGCAAATTAGCTGTTGTCATAAATGTAAAAGAAATAATAGTGCTAGTGCTGCACCCTGTTGGTAATCCTTGTAACTTTAATGCTATTGAACATCACAGAACAGAACCAACTTGTTTAATTGAAACAGCTGTTAAGATTCAATAATTTCATTT